TTGGGATGATAACATGGCAATGTCAGCTCAGCTGACTTTTGGCCATTCAAAAGATTAAACCCAGTGTGATCTCCCGGCTCCCTTTCATGTATGGGCATCCTTGAGATCAGGTACCATGGCATCAGATATACACCTGTGTTTGTCCCTGTACCTACTAACCACACTGTATTGTTATTAATCTAGAAATGACAACATTAGTAACCTGGATGGGAAACACTACACTTTTCATATCTTATCCTCAGCTGACCATGACAGATCAGATGCAGCACTCTGCAGTGGGAAAAAGCCTTGCCATGTTTATTCTGCTACATGAGACAGCTGCACCTCACCCGAACCTCCTTTCTGTCCTGGTGGGCAAAGATACATTGAAAGTCAGTGACTTCTCTTCCTTTGAACTATGAAATACCAACTCTAGGTCTTCACATGCAGAGAAAGTACCTCTGACCTTTTCCAAACCCCAGTTCCAAACTCTGCCACTACAGCCATTTTTTTCAGGGCTCAGTCCTGGACTAGTACCAAGGAAGATGCTCACCTCTCTGCTTCTTTGTACTTGCCCTGCTTCTCCATCTCCTGGGCCTGGGTTATATAGAGCACAGACACATCTTCCTGACTCATACACTTGACTGCCAGCTGCCAAAAGGAACACACATGGGAGAAACTACAGCACATTGCACAGCGATTTCTTCATACATGGTGGTAAAGAAGAAGGGAAAAACCAATTTCCTTCCCATTACAAACAGGTATACATGCTGTATGCTCTGCAGAGAATGGGTCGTCATTTGTCACTGTGATCAAACCACACAGGACTGACCCCCTTGGAGAGGGCTTTTGGTGTCACAGATGCATGCGCATGAGGCCGGTGAATTAAAGAACACATGTGCAGGATGTGAATACCAGGAACAGATTTCTTGGTGCCTACTGAATGGCCCCGCATTCATCCTTTGGGAAGAGTGCTTGTTGAACAGGCGCTGGTGCACAAGGCACCACCACCTCCCAAAGAAGGGCATTTCACAAAGTGGGGTGAGATCACCAGAAGCTTTCACTTCTGACTTTACCTTGTGAGCTTGTTCCCAGAGCCCAGCCTGTGTGTACATGTCAATGGCATCCTTGGTCTGGTCTCCTTTGATGTACAGCTCCTCTGCAACCTGCAGGGAAATGATCATACTCAGCAGTCCTAAGTGACACACAGAGCATCAGCAATTGTGGTCTGTGGCCTCACCTGATACTCCTGTAAAGCCGCATAGTGCTGGGCAATTCTGGGGTAATATTTGGCTGCTGTCTGTTTGTCCTGCAAGTCCAAAATGTAGATGGCCTTCTTCCACTGCCTGGCTCCCAAGGCTGCCTCAATGGCCTTAATCGAGCACCTAGCATTAAAACCATAACTCTTTACAGCCAGCCAGCAGCCATCTCCTCCAGCCGAGTTAAGCCAAGGAGACCAAAGTGGTCTGCTGCTTAATTCTTCTCCCTGGATTAGAGCAGCAAAAAGGATCTGAGTAACTGACAAAGCTAAGGGGAAAGAATGAAGAACTAGAACAGGGAAGAGTAATCAGGGCTGAAAGACCTTGGGAGAGATGCAGGAAGGCATCCATAGTATCATAAGGGCCAGCAGAGGCTGCACATAAGCACCAGGAGCATTGGCAAAGCAGGGTTGAGGGGACTTACTCAAGCAAAACCTTCTGCTGATTTAGGCATAGGATTCATAACATGCTTCTGGTTATACATCCATCACCTGCCCCCACCTGGCTTCAATATAATGGTTAATAGCAGCATCCAGCTGTTTCTGTTGCACCAGATAGTCTCCCCAGGCCTCCTCCAGCTTCACAACTTCTCCAGGAAATGCCAGGCGAGCCAGCTCCACTGCTGTAAGGGGATATGAGAGCTGTGGTGCTGAATCCAGCAAGGAAGCAGAGCTGTGAGGCAAACACGGGGCTTGGATGGGGCACAGTGGGAGGGGACTGGTTATTGTCTAATCCACTCCAGCTCCAACAGGCTACTCAGCAATCTGGACCCTGGGGAGAACTGGAACAGATCCATGCTGGTGCTGTCAGCATGATCTAGGCCTTGGGAACAGGATGCTGTTCTGGGACTGTGTGTGCAGGCACAACTATGTAAAAATACATACACTGAGTAAGATGATATATGGAAACTTCAGAGAATCTAGGCACCTCTGGGCTCCAGGGCAATAGTTTATGTTGATCAGGCCAGAGTACCTAGGCTCCTGCTGGGGATGGATGGCAGAAGGGACATATTTAGCACAGTACCTTTCAGGAAAGCACTGCCCTTGCAATAGCACTCCAGAGCCCTCCGTGAGTTCCCAACCTTCTCGAGCAGGTCTCCAGCCTAATGACAAATACAAGCTGACAGTTTCCAGAGCCACTACCTCCCCTCACCATCATGCACCCCACCAGTCCCACGTACAGAGTTTGTCAGTCCTGCCATACAGACCTCTCCGTTAGCTATGCCTTTCCTACTAACCAAGAACATGATGGTAAAGGGAACTGTAGGAAAGACTGCATATGCTGAGAATACTGTCCTCTCTGATGATCGAAATACCCAAAGTGTTTTTCTGGGGCACCATCTTCTAACAAGATAAGAGTTTTTGAGACAAACTCCCTTCTCTGCACAGGGGCTGGTGCAGCAACAGCCTCTCTATGATGATGGCCCCTAGGAGCTCCACTATGCAGATGACTGTAGTGGAGATGTTGACATGAGTAGTGAAGGGGAAAGCTCAGTCTCTTGCAGCAGTTTTCACCCTGTAGGAAAGGGTGGTGGCCAACAGGGTGAGATGAAGCTCAAAGCTTGTAGAACTTAGAATATAATACAAGAAAGGCCATTCTGGCAGACCAAAGATTCATTCTCCTCAGTATTTGAATGGTGGTGAAAGCACATGTATAGAGAAAGATTGTAAGAGCAGAGCAAATGTACACCAGCCCTTCTTCAATTATATCTATCCATCTCTGACAATCTGCATTGTAGAAGCTTCCTGAGTTTGTGTCATAATGTCCTCACATCATCATATTTCATGGCTTTTGACAGATCCTACCTCCATATGGCAGCATTTTGTTCCACAGTTGTTCTTTCAGCTGAAGGCTTAAGAAAAGGTAACAAGTTTGGAAAAGCACAAAATTCTCTTGGGTCAAATGAAATGGTCAGAAAATTCCCAAGGTAAAATGAGACTGAAGAAATGTAGTTTAAGCAGGGCAGATAAAATAGGCCAGCAAAAAGAACTGTTTTGTTTGGGGTTTTTTCCCACAACACATAACTGAACTGGGTAACTCATAGACAACACTGTACAAAAAGTATAGATCAAACAGTAATTTAACAAGCTCACAAAAGTAAAATTTATCAAAAGCTCTTACACATAACCCCAAACTTGTTCAGGTACACTGTAGTCTGCAAACTGAGGAAACCATGAAAGTATGCTAGGGGAAGCACGACCCTATTTTTGCCTGTTCTTCGTTTTTCTTTCTTAAGCATCTGCAAGAGGCCTCTCTTAGCCAGGATACCAACCTGTATATTGGTCAGACTCAGCACTGCTTCCTTACATTAACAGGACTATGTGCTGTGTGAAAAACATCCTGTTTTAAATGTAACCTAATGTGACAGATTAAAAAATGGTTACCCATTTTTTGTGTTATTAGACACAGAGAATAATCGTTTATATTCTCTGTGATATTCAGGGTCAGACTGTCTGATAACCCTCTCTTCTTCTTCCTTAGTTTTTCCATTTAGACTATCCCATTTTCCCAAGGGCCTCCCTGACCATTACTGAACTCAGCTGATGTTGCCAATGAGTTGTGATCTTCCCAACTAGTTCTAGACCTCACCCATATATATATCTAATGGATGCAGTTAGGATTTCCTCCCAATTATCAACACAGAATTACCTCTGCTACTCTCACAGATGCAGAGGACAGGGTAAGAGCTTTGATAACACTAAGAAGAAAGCCCAGTGGGGTTGACCACTCACCTGTTCATACAGTTCCCCTCTGATCAGTGCCATGGAGACCCTATTGATGATATCCCCATTGGTCAGGAGCTCATCCCTGCTCATGGCCAGCCGTGCTGCTTTGGCTGGCAGCCCTGCCCGCAGGTATAAGCTGATGGCTGCCAGGTAGTCTCCCTGTCCCTCTTGGACCTCCCCAGCCTTCTCTTCTTGCTGGGTATCCAGCAGCCACTGGTAGTAATCCCGACGCAGCTTATCCAGCATCGGGTGTCCCTGTTGAGAAACACAGCATTGGTTGACGTGCGCAAGGCAAGATGTCTTGCTCGCCCTGCAGGCTCTTAACAGCTAGCTGATGGCACCAGACCTCATGCTGCCCAGTTAGTATAAACCACAATGACAATCCTGTGGTTTATTCACCTTTCTGCATCACCTTTCTTTTTCAAAGCCCCAGACACTCCTAAACCAATTTCAGTAGCTTTTCTTCCTCACTATTCACAGAGGTCCACACTTACATCAGTGCAACCTTCCCTTCTGCTTGGATCTCTCCAAGCAGAAGTGAGGCCCTGATAGGGCAGGTAGAGAGAACTCAGACCTCAAATGGACTCCCAACCAGAGGACTTAAGTTCAGCTATATTCCATACCTTGGCCTCAGCAACCACAATGCATTCATCCCACATGTGCAGCTCCTGGTACATGTCCATGGCCTCCTCTGTGGCATTCTGTGTCAGAGAGTAAAGTGTCAACTTGGAGGGTCTATTTAGCAGGCACATTGCCATTCAGCTCTTATAAAGGGCAGGGTCACGTGTGCAGAGAACACTTGAAAATAGGTACCATCTCCTTTACAAGCATATACATCCTCACTTACCCTTTTCAGGGCAATCCTGTACTTTGGAACAAGAGATACCTCCTTCTTTTTCAAGGAAAAAAAACTCTTCTCCCAGGAATAAACAATCTTTTCCTTTTCTCTTTGACACCAGAGCACAAATCTCCCTGCCCAGAAATAAATGATGCCTTTTCTGCTCCTTGTTTCTTTTACTCACTTGCTCCAGGAAGATCATCTCTGCCAGCTTGTAGTTCTTGTCTAGCATGGCCAAGCGGGCTCGCACCAGATAATGGTCTGTACCATCCCCACCCTGCAGACAACATCAATTAGCTTACTCAGTTTGCTGAGTGAAGGAATGGGCTCTGGAATGATACAAGGGAGGTGATTGCAGGTGGGGTCTGTGTCATTACAGAAACAAAAGAAGACAGTTGAGAATCACAGAAGTGACAAGACAGGAGCAGTATGGAATGAGTAGCCAGAAGAGGGACCTGGCAAGTACGGATGAAGAATTATGTAAACAGTTTCTACACAGCCAAGTACTGCTCTGTAGCAGGATACTGATGAGCATGGACAGAGAAGACAGTTGTGTATGCAAGGAAAAGGAAAGCAGCTGCCCCACACAGCAGAAAAAGTTTGACTTACATGCTCTTGAGCTGCCTGGTCAGCAATGATACTGGTTTCATGCAGAAACTGAGCCTTTGCCATGTTGCCCAGAGCTGCAAAGCACCTGGAAAGAGCAAAGCAGTTAGTCAATAAGTGGGTTTTGTTGCCCACTTTTGGTCCCAGAGAAGAAAATCAGAACCTGGGCAGCAGACCCAGCTCTGCAAGCTGGAGAGGTGGGGTAGCCCTACTTCAAGAGAAGGATTTTGCCAAGATGTGCCCCTAGCCCTGCTCCATGGGAGAAGCCACATAAATGATGAGGGCTCCTGCTTCACTTCCCCAGGCTTCAGAGATGCACTGAGCTTGTCCATGTCTGCCAGGTCCCTGAAGCCTCGCTATATACTGCTTTGGGTTGCCATGAGCAAAAATTTATGCTACAGAGTGATGTCTTCCTAAACTCAGTTCTAGCATTACTGTCTAGGATGAAAGGGCAAAGTCCTTGCTTGAAAGCAGAACACTTAATTCTCCAGTGCAGTGAATATTCCAGGACAATGGTTTCTCTGACAGATTCTGCAAAGAGAGTGTTTAAGCCTTAAAGATGTTATAGCTTCTTTTTGTACCTCTTTGCAATGTGCAGCTGCCTAGCTTCCAAAGCCAGTCTGCTCAGAGTCTTCCACATGGCCTCAGCCTCTGCAGACATTTCCAGTGTCTCCAAAAATGCTGTAGCCCTTGAGACAGAGAGATTTGCAGACTTTCAGTAACAGAAGAGCTCTCTGAAGAAAGTCCTAGGTTGAGACAGGAGCTTCCTAACAAGAGTTACACTGGAAACAAAGCAATTTGGGTGTGACCAGTTCTGAAAAGGATTGTTTAACACAGGGCCTGACATATCAGGGAAAAATCAGCCCATTCCTGCCTGGGCTACTTAGAGGTATATGCTCTGCTACAGGCAGTGTGGGGCAAGTCCAAAGTGTTGTGTCTGAAGCAAGTCCCTGGTGCAAAGAAGTCTCTCAAGTGGTAACAGTTCTATGAATATGTGAATTTCATTTGCTGGTCAAATTTAAAGCCCTATAACAATGTCAGCAGTGCCCAGGTGTCTACCATGACTGCTTCAAGCAGTTTTTACCCTGCACAACTCCTGAATGTTTCCATGCACCATCCCTGGAGGGACAGCAGTAAAAGCATCTGAGTACCACTTCACATCTGGCTGCTATGGAAGACACATTTATTCACTGCAGTTAAGTGAAAACTGCCTTCAGTGAATTTCTGTCAGTGTCACTGGGACCACAGCGGCCAGTTTCTTGTGCCACTGAGTTTGAAACCACAGAACTGTGAGGATGAAAAAGTGGAACTCCTGAAGGACTCTACTGCACATTATAACCAAACTTGGCACCAACATCATGCTCAGAGCCTGAATTTGAACTCTGTATGGAAAGCTGTGCTGCTGTAATTCATGGATTGCTGACTCTTAGATGTCTGTGATGTGAAGTAGGCTACCTGCCATCATCATGTGGTCTATTTAGCACTTACCTGTGATAATCCCCATCATCAATGGCAGTTCCAAACTCTATGAGGCCTTCGTCCAGGGTGTAGGACACAGTGTTCACCCCTTCAGATACTATCACTTCAGTCTTTCCATTATGCTGTTCCAAGTCTACAATATCCCCCTGGAAGAAGAGCCACCTATCAACATTCCCATGTCCTCCTAAAGTAGGCAGGTAGCAGGGGTGTGAGGACAGCACTACATCATCTCTGCTCATTCAGGTTCTGCTGAATGAGCTTACACTGAGCAGCTCTTTGCTATATTAACTATCCCCATCTTCTGCCAGAAGTGCTTGTCACAAAGTTGACAGATGAGCTCATATTTTGTCCAGAAGAAACAAGCAGTTCCCCTTGGTCTCCTTTCTGCAATACCACCCTGACTATTCCCACACACGTGAGCAAGAAGTAATAGAAACTGATGGAGGTAATCCAAGTCTCCAGAGTTTTACCTTCAGAGGAAACATGGTGACTCGCTCTGGAGCATCAATGTTATACCAAATGCAGAGGCTGTTTCTGTTCTGAGCCACCACCACATCACTGCCTGGGACCCACTGCACATAGGAGCAATAGTTCAAAATGGTAGTCTTGGTGCTGCTTTCAATGTCATAGAGATGCAACTAGAGAGGATGAAGAGGAGAAAAAGGCTCAGCTGGGCTCATATCTGGACTGCTAGCTCACATGAACATCATAGGAACATCTGAGCAAGCATCTCTAAACATATTACCCACTAGGTATCATAATTATTCCAACACAAGTAGCCCGAACTCCCACACTGTTATTTACATACATTACTATGCAAGACTTATGTCCTTTTTAAACCCTTGCAGTATTTTAAGCAGCATGCTCAGATCCTGCCTTCCTTACTGCTAGGCATGTACGTGTATAAACCAGAATATGCTTTGTGCTTCTTCAGTTCGCTCTCAGTTGCAGAGCTGGAACAGGAGAATGGTCTCTAAAGTCCTTCATGCAAACTAAGAGGGAGACCAAGAATGGTCTTCCTCAGCAGTTCTCGGATGAACTGTGCATCCTAGGTAGAGTACTATTGCAAGAACTGCTGCCAATAAGGTGAGAGGGTGTTTGTAGAATACACTGCCCTTAAACAAAACTGACAATTTGGAAGGTATAACTTGACACATGCCATAACAAGGATGTGTAATGTCTTGTAACTTAGAAGTCCTAGACTGTCTCTGCTCCTTGTCATAATGGTCCTCATCTAGCAAAGGTGAGAAAAAGAGGAAAGAATTGTGCTAGTCTTATGACTTACCAGTCAAAAAAGAACAAGAAAATCCATTCTAGTCTATACCAAACTGGCTGGAGAAACATGTACAGACATAGCTTAGGAGAATCATGGTACTGTCTGACTTAGGCTGGTGGCAGTATTCAGTGAAGAAGCTGTCTTTGTGGCCTCTTGAGAAGCCTAAAAAGGAGCCAGAAGAAGCAACAGCAATCTTGATGATGCCACCCTCTCTTGTTGAGACAGTAAACTAAAGGACCCAAAGATAAACTGAAAAAGGCTGCAGAAATAAATATAAGAAGAAATATTGCTGGGAAAGTTCTCTCTTCTCACATGATAGGAAAATACAGCTTTGTGGAAATGTACCTATCACTTACAAATAGAAACCTGTTTCAGCTGGAATCACAAAAGTAATTCTAGGAGTCCTTGTTCTGTGATGACCCAGAACCAAAACTACAGTACTTGTGCAAGAAAGAGACTACCTCCAGCATGCTTCTTCGTGGTAAAGAGTTCGTGAGGTGGCAGATACAGACACTGCAATCTTCCACTACAAAGTTGAGCCCTGTAGCTGCTAGCTGGTAAGCTTGACAGCAGTGAATCAGCCTGTGTGTGAGCGGTAGCAAGCAGACAGGCAATTAATTGGAGATCTGTATTCCGAAGCAAGAAGATATCTTTGCATCCCCTACAACCTAGGATGCAATCTTAGGGTTCGAGCTGCTAAAAATTACGAAGGACGAGCAGCTCACTGAAGAAGCCTGGGGTTCCTGTCTGAAATCTGAGGTGTGAATTCAGAGTTTCTTCTGAGCTGAGGCTGAGAAAGTTCTCAGGGATTTTAGCATATAGGCACGTATGATCATAATACTTCACCCATCCTTGGACTAAGGAAAGAGGTACAACCAAAGTGCAAATATTCTACTGCAGACTGACAGTTCCCAATGGAATCTGAACTCTGGAGCAATTAAAAACATCCTGTGATGAGCTCCAGTGCTGTAGCTGGGGGCTGCCACAGCATCTGGGACACCTGTGTAGAGATTCTGATGTGAATTACACCGTTGTCAAGAACACCGTTCTCTTCTCAGGATGCTCTTGAAACAAGAAGAGCAAACGAACTCAAGCACTCAAGGAGCCTTACATTCGTAACAGTGAAGACTTGATAGTGAACTGAGTGGAACTGTACTACATTTGATGAATGTATCTTGCCTGCTGCAGTGAGCTTCTTCATCTGTATCTGTACAATTAAACCTAACATTGCCAGGATGTGAGGTGAGTACCTACACATTGTAATCTGTAGTGTGAAAGAAACCACTACTGTGATTCTGGGCATAGTTTTGTCCTGGACATACTAATACTCCCTCAGACAACATTCAGTCATGGTCTGGGAATGAGCGCAAGCCAAGAACCATACCAAACAAGCTATCTGGTTGTGACTATGCTATTTTAAAGAATTAGAGAGTTCATCTTACAGACATAAGCCAAGCTGTTGCAGAGAACACCTTTTTTATATGCACATGTTCAAGTGCAACATCCTGAGGTTAGCCCACTTGTCTCCATCTCACAGCAGAAGAGCCTATGATTTTCATTTTCAAGTGTGATGAGATGAAGCAAGTTGTCTAGTAACCAACTTCAGGATTAGCTGTGATTCAAGACAAACATGAAATGCTGCCAGTACATGTAATCTGAATATGGTCTATCTTTCTCAAAGAAGTGGTCAAAAAATCATGAGTACTTCAAATGTGTTTTTCACCTCCATCCCTCCATTCAGGCATGTCTACCTGTCTTTACCTCTCCCCAGGCATGCCATATTGCCACACTTTCCCAGCTGCGCCTGCCTCACCCTCATCTTCTTGTCCCTGAAGAGCAGTTTGTGGCCTGTTTCATTCAGCTCCAGCCAGTCAATCTTGCTGTCATGGCTGATGGTGCCAGTGTTGTAGCCACCAACAAGGTCCACTTGGGAAGGAAAGACAGGAAACAGTGTAAGTACCTAATGTGTCTCGAAGTGCTGAATATTCAATGCTGTCTTGTGTGGATCAAATGCCTGGGGCCTAATTAGGGCAAGACCCCCTACAAACTGCAGTGATCTTGTTGCCTTTATCAACAGCAGTAATTCCTTCCACCCTTCTGTTAGCATGCACGGATCACAGGCAATGCAGGCAGCAATATCATCATCATACTGAACTGCACAGAATCTCAGGTCCAGGACACACACAGCCACCCCACAGCTGTGTCCACATCAGGCAGCCAACCTGCCAAAAGTAAGACAGGCTGGTCTTTAGTTGTCTGCAGGCAGGCAGAGGTAATGCAAAGGGGGCCTCCAGAAATCTGCTGCTTGGTAGTGGGAATACAATGAAGACCTGCAGGGATATGCTGCTTGGCACAGAAAAGGCAAAGGAATCAAGAAGGCTGACAAATACTGGGGAGGGAGGTTTATATTCACCTGTTGCTATAGTCTTGATGTCTATCAGGTAAGCCAGTCGCTTGTTCTCCTCCACGCCTCTCTGCTGTCTCTCATTGATACGGACACTATTATTTGAAGGCAATGATGACTATTACCTTTATTACTCTTTAAATTCACAGGACTGAATAACATAGCCCCTACCAGATTTACCTGCAGTTTCCCCAAGCACATGGGGCCTCCTGCAGCTCTCTGACCTCTGACTCTTGCACAATACCTACAGCTTCCTCAAGTGAGAACAAAACTTTCTGATTCATGGCTCCATTCTGGAAGCTGCCCCTCTGGAAGCAGGGTCCCCAGTAGCAAATTAGTTATGCTACTTCCACCTCTGACCAATACATGATCCTTTCTTCTCTTGAATCAGAAAATGGAGTATGGTATTTCAGAGGGACAGAAGAGGTCCTGATGGCAACTTGATTCCTGATAATGCTGTACGCGGACCAGCTTGATGCAGAGATGCTTCTATATGCACAAGAGGTCCCTTTTCAGCAATAGCCAAGTCAGGCTTCAATAAGCATGTATCAGAGGAAAATGGACTCTTGTCCTTCTAAAACTTTACAACCATTAAGTGTAACTGAGCAATTAAACCCCACCCCAGTGTCTGGGGACTGTGTTTTACAGAATCGGACACTTCCAAGTGTATATATCTGAGGTCAGCCTCACAAAATGCTTGAACTGGCCACACAGGCAGATGTACCACTTACCTGATAAGATGAGGGCTCATGAATTCTGTGCGGACAGACCCCAGGATGTCGTTGCTTCCGTATTCCACCAGTGTCAGTTCGCCACTGTTAAAGATCATGCAGACCTGAAGGTGAGAAGGGAATACACATTTACAGAATATCCATGTAAGCACATATACCTACCACTGAGGTGTGCAGAAAAGAACTCTGCTGCACACAAGTCTAAACTCAAACCCCCTGAGATGAGTAAGGAATTGGCCCTGGCTTCTTCCTGTGACTGACAGCTTTTCCTCAGGGTTAGGGACTTTAGTTCAGGGCCTATCGGTCCCACAGGAGCTAAGCTATGATCCTGTTACCTCTAACGTCCTCTCTGGCTATTGCTCTTTTATTGCTCCTCTCTCCTGTAGGGTTATGATTTATATAACTTGACAGTCCACACACTGAGCTTGTTCTGTACCTGGCATGTGGAAAAGGCAAGTATGGGGAGGAAGCAGGTGAGGATCTGCATGGAGAGGGTAAGTCCAGGAAAGTGCTGAGAAACAGGGTATTCCAGAAGTGTAGATGACACTTTCTCTGCTGCTGCACACACAGCTTTACTCACCATTCATGAGTAATACCTTGTCCCATCCAACTTACACTCTCAGTGCCAAAGGAGAACTTCTCATTGCCTCCAGATCCTTGCCAGGCTACCTACAAAGCAAGGGCATGGAGAAAGCAAATGCCAGGCTGACAGCTCATGCAGGGTTGCAGGCATTGTGGTCCACTGTCCTGCACTCAACTCCCACAGGAGATAGCAAGAATTATACTGCAGAAGGACTCATGTTCCAGCACTTTAGCTGTCAACACTTGTTCAGTCATTCACAGCTTATAAATTCCTCACTTCCCTCTCCTTTTTTTAACCTCTGCTTCAGACTCCTGTTCTCTTTATGTAGTATCTTATTGCCTTCTGGACAAGAGACCTTTACGTGACCAATGTACTCCCTCTAGCCTATCCTTTCACAGGCACTTCTCCACCTTCCTCAGACAAACTTTATTATGAAAAGCACCCCCAACAGCCCCTTTCCCTCAGTTAATCTCCACAGAATCAGTTATACCATTTGTGGGGGCAGAATCTGCCCACCTCATGTAGCTGAAACCATTCTTTTTTGGCATCATGTTAGCAATGACTGATCAGCATACTGCCAGTGGGGCACTAACTGATTTGAGAAGAGCACTGGATAATACAACATTTACTGTGATGACAACAGGCAAGTGGTCAGAGAGGCACAAAACTGAAAGCCAAGGCTGCAACTGTTGTCTTCCCTCCTTGAGCAAGAGCTCTAAGTCACTGCTTCAACAAACTCCAGTGAGACAGAAAGATGGTAAATGGACTCCTCAACCTTATTCTTTATCAGAAGTGAACGTATCTGTGCAACTGAATGAAAAAACTCCTCTGTGAAGTATGATGTAGAGAAACCTGGGAGATTTAGTCTGGCCAGATTTTCAGATGGATTACCAAGTATCGGTGTCCTCCAACTCAAATCTGTAGTCAGGAGCTCCTGCTCCTAGCTATGCTGATTAGCACACCATTAGACTGATTAAAAGTATGTAATGCCTGTGTGAACAGAGCAAATACATTCTGAAGCCTATATAATACTTTTATCAGGTACTAACTAACTGTCCATTTTCTCCAGGCTTGGCACATAGGCTCAGCACTCAGTGCATTGTGAGACTCAGGGTATGGAAAGTTTTGTATGAATTGTTTGGTACCAGAAATGATATTGGCATAAGCTGTGGTACTGAAGTCATGGATGCTTTTTGGTTGGTTTGGTTTTAGGTTTGTTTGTTTGTTTCCAGGTTTTTTTTGGCTTCTTCAGCCTGGAGAAGGGAAGGCTTAAGAGATCTCTAAGGTGATGCCAGGCTTTTCTTTTGGCAGATGCACAATGAAAGGGTGAGAAACAGTCATAAATTAAAATAACAATTACAACAAGACTTAGCAAAAAAGCTTTCCTCATGAGGATATAAAAGCGTTGGAACTGGGGACAGAGAGACTGCGGAATCTGAGCAATGACATTCAAATTTAATATTGACTTTCCTTTGGGTAGCAAGCTTGATAAGAGACCTCCCAAGGTCCCTTCTATATTATTCTATGATTCTTTGAAAATAGATGTATTGTTCCAAGCAGACAACATATCCTTTGAGTTACAAAGTTAAGCATTTGACACTCAAGAAATGCCACAGATTTTCCAGTACCTCACTGAGCTTGTTGGAGCTGATGTCACCCAGCAGTAATGTGTCTGAGGTACGGGCCACCAGATATCTGTCTTTCCCTAAGATCTTCACCTCATCAATCTCATAGCCATACTGGGATTTCAACACAACTCGAGTTCCTGTTGAAAGGTTCTTCACAATGACCTAGAGAAAGACAGAAAAAGCCATGCACAGAGGAAGAACACAGACTTCTTGCCCCATGGAAGATTATGCAATAGATGGTACTTGGGTATTTAGAAGTCTCTTCACATCATTTCACTCTGTTTTTTAAAGAAACTTTACCATTCCTTTTTATGGGATGACAGCTGTAGTAGAAGTGTGGGGTTCTCACTTCTGCCCTTTAGAAGTTTCTAGCCCAGCTGAAGGACTACTCAGGCCCCTGAGGAGGAGCCACCATCCAAGAGTCCTGCTCTTTCCTCTCATCACAGAGTGCCTAGACTGCTAGCTCATCCTTACTACTTGATTTTGAATGAAGTTGGCTGAAATTAAACAACTTAAGGAACCTGCATTTGGCATGGAGGTATCCCACACAAATTCACAAGCCAGGAAATAAACTCCATTGTCTTTGTTTCTAGCCAATTTCCACCCAGCCTTGACCCTGTCCCTGGAATATACCCTACGCCTTTTCCAACAAGTTGATATGAACAAACCGTGGCTGCAGAACTCCAAACATGTCTAGTTTTAACAAGCATCCCATTTTCATCAAGGGACATGACCCCACTGGATGTTCTCTTACCTGGCTTGGTCCCACATACGTCATTTCAAATTTATTTTTGTAAATGCCTCTGCGAAGGCAGAAGTCAAACTGTTCAACTCCTCCACACAGAGTGCCCTGGGGACACAAACACATTGTACACAGTCAGTGAATTCTGCTAAGGACAGATATTCCAGACCCTACTTACATGAAGAGAATCAAAGGTGAGACAGAAATCCATAGGCCCTGGCTGCTCTGGGGAACACGGCTCAAGCCACCTGATGCCTAAGGACCAGTTCTGTCTTTACTTTCTTGAAAGAACAGCAAGATTGAGAAATACTCAGAGAAACTAAGCTTACCAAATACCAGCATGTACATGGCAGAAGGAGAGGAAGGGTTAAAAATCACCTTTATCCTCATCTTCCCCATTATCTTTCTGTTTACCACTTCTCACAGTCCCAGCTTTCCAATCTCTCCTCCCTTTCAGCAAAATCATTCCACCTTTTTAACATCACCATTCTTTTCACCAATCTCCTATCCATTGGCTCCTTCCCCTTGTCTGCAAGTATTTGTTCACATGCTCAATTAATTATGTATGAAAATATGTCAAGGATTTTTGATTGTTGAACATAAAAAGATGCAAAACTTATTAAAGAAAAGTTGTAAGTAGCAGCCTTCCAAAATCATTTAAGTGCTTTAAAGAGCTATTCAACTTAATACAGAAAATTTGCAGAAAGATTAATGTAAATAATTAATTAGCTTTAAATAATTAATTAGCTTTATAGAGAAAGATAGATCAAGACCCAGTGGCTGAAAATAGAAGAAGACAACTCTCAACTGAAATATAGCACATAAACATGAACATAAGAGAGAAGCTATGCTGGCCTTATAATGCTTCTGTGAAAAAGGAGGACTGCTGCTGCCAATGAGCCATTGCACAATCATCCATGCCATTATATTTTACAGCTTCATACACTGCACACTGTACATCTGACTGCAGCAGTGTCCCTTGCACAAGGTCTCAGCCTTGCATCTCACACCTATGTGATGGCATGACCACTCTCATAAGCCCTCCCTGTATCACATCACTTTGACTGATGTGAGACACATGAGACTGTCTCTGGTGTGTGACTCAGGGGCTCAGGGTTGCTGACTGATGATACAAACCACACAGATGCGTGAACCATCCCTCTTCCATGCTAAAGCTGTGACGGTGTAGAGGTGAGCTATTTCTTTGGGTTTGCCTTCCTCCCAGGCACTGCGGCGTGGACTCCAGTTCAAAACCCTTAACCTGTGAGAACAGATGAGAAAGCAGAGACAGGAAGTACTGTGTATGTCTGAAGACGAGAGCACTATAAAGGGGAGACTTTGCCATCAGCACCATACCTATCATAGCTGCCAATGACAACAGATTGGCCACCAGGACTGGCAGCTGCTGTGGTGAATTCCTTCTCTGATGAGTCCCGGGTATAGTCAAAGGTTTGAATCACGTTGCCTTCCTTCCCATAAGCTACAATCTTCTTATCACAGCCTGCAGCCACAATGCTACTGGAAGCCCAGGCGAGGGCATAAGGAGGACAGGGATGCATCACCAACTTACCCTACAATAGGAAAGAAAGAACATCCTGAAAACATGAATGGCTCTAGCCCTGAAACAGCCTCTGTGTTCAGCTATCATGAGACCAGTATGAGGCCCTTCTCTAAAGTTGCTTTGCCTGACCCAATCTAGGAAGGTATACAGAAACCAGAACTGAGAGGTGTATCAACTACTCCATTCATTTAACCGGGAGAGAAGATTCCTAATACCAGTAAGAAGACCAGTACCATTAACTAGACTGGGATGGGCTCTTAACATAGTAGAGTGTATATGTGGTTTCAGCATATCATGGTAGAGAGCAGACATGCTCAAACTGCTTCAGCTGGAAAGAAAATATCTGAATGAGAATAGCATTCCCTTCACCACAGCTCAAAGCATAAAGGCTATTCTCATAAATTCCTCTCTTACCATCACACTCATCTTTGTTAAGTATCTAGTTACTGGTCTGTCTTCATCAATGCTCCGTAACACCTGTGCTAGCAAGCACAGACTGTAGCTCCTCCCCAGGTCTGCCCTCTCTCCACAGCCAGATTCCTCTACAGAGCTCTTGAGCTGGTGACTAGGCTGCACAAACAGGAATTTGGCTCACTGAAAAAGGAGTTTTGATACCTGTGATTCACCTGAACCCTCATCATCAAAGAAGAAGCGTACTATGGTTCCATCTGCATGGCCAGACAGGATTCCTTTCCCCGACACACTGCAAAGAAACATAGACAAGATGATGCAATTATGCAGCAACACTTGCACCTTAACGTTCATATTCCTGTCCAGAGGAGCAAGCCCCAGGGTGATCACTGATGTTTTTCATCAAAGGAGCCTTCACCAAAACAAGCTGCATGATTAGCACAAGAATATCCAGTACCTGTATCAGTGTCTGTAAAAAAAAAACCCCACAAAAGTATGGAGAATGGAAAGGAGAGTGACCAGTTAAGTATCTTCATCACGTAAAATCACAATAAACAACTTTCTGTATTACTAAAATGCACAGAAGAAGCTAAGTATCCCTAAGTGGAATAATGACTATGCACGCAACTTCTGATAGCAAGGTGTATCAAACAACCCTTGCATTGGAACTGCTACAGAAGTGA